GATGCTCTCCACGGTCCAGTCGACGACCTCAACCGCTCCTTCGCCTGGGTCCTTCGCCCATTTGTGCAGCATGGGCGCTCCGCGTAGGTGGTCGACCGCCAGTGCTTCTGGCCATCTCTTGACTTGCCTGCCGTGCCGCTGCCCACTGGGCACGGCCTTGCCCGTGTGCTCGGCCACCTTGGCGACCAGCTCGATCTCGCCGAGGACGGCGTAGGCCGCGCGCATCCTGGAAACTGACGTGAAGGCGTACCCGCAGGCGTGCATTGCGGCTGCCATCCGCCATTCACCTGATGAGTCGCAACCGAGACTGTTGGTTCCCTGGCTAGCTGTATGCTTGCTGGTCCCCCCGCATTCCCACTTGCGTTCGATATGACGTGGAGCGACTGCGCGGCTTGCTGCTGAAAGTCCAGCTCCTGGTCGAGGACTGCGAACGGTCGGCCTCGGTGTCGCTCAGGTTGTTCATTTCTAGTTCGCAAAGGTGGTCACGTGCGCGCGCTGGTTCTCGCCCTGGGCTGCGCAATGTCCTCTCCCGCATGTTGCCCCCGAGCTGTCGGTGGCTCGGTGAGTCCCGCCATAATCGCGATCCACGTCTGCGAACAGGTTGGCGCCCGCCTCGCGCTGCGCGGGGGCAGCCCCTGCCCGGGGGGGCAGGGTGCGGGCGCGGTGGTGGCGAGCGGTGCGCTCGAGCCTCTGGCATTCGATGCGTCATTGAGCGTCTGCTCGGCTAGCTGCTGTAGGTCCAGCTCGTCGTCTAGGCCATCGAACGGGTCGACCTCGACGTCGCTCAGGTTGGTGGCGCGCTTCCTGCTCCCGTTGTGGATCGTGTGCGCGCGCTGGCTCTCGCCCGCTGCGGCAGCGCCTTCTCCCCTCCCCCCTGATGCCTCTGGACGTTCGGGGGCCTGATGGGTCCCGCCAGAGTCGCGATCCACATCTGCGGACGTCACCGAGCGCGTTCCACTACTTGCGCAGTGCCTACGCGCAAACGTCCCAAAAACGCATGTCCGTTTCGATGTTATCGTGGATTCCCCGCCGCGAATCAAGGCCATTTGCGAGTAGCTACTTTGCGAGTAGTGGAACGCGCTCGTCTAGAAGAAGCTGACGTCCACCTCGCGCGCAGGGTGGGCGCCTGCACGATGGGCTGCGGGGGGTGGGCGCGCCGGAGGCGAGCGGGGGGCTCGACCCTTTGGCAGCTGCCGCGCTGGTGAAGGCATCGGCCACCCCTTAGAGTGGGGCCTCGCCGTGGGCGGGGGGGCGCTCTGGATAGCTCGAGACTTCTGGGCAAGCGGTGGATGCGTGCAGGTAGCCGTCGGAGTCGCCGTGCCACTCGTACGCGTGGGCTGAGTGCTGTGACGATGAGTGGCTGAATCCCTCCGCGCCCAAACCGTGCCCCACCTTGTCGTCGTGGCGGAGGGTCAGCACCGCTTGGTCGATGGCCGCGTTGGAGTCGGCCCCGTGCCCGCTGACGTCGCTTTCGGCTTGCTAGAGGAGGCCCTGCGCCAACTGGTGCCAGTCGTCGTAGTCATCCAGAGGCCGAACTTGCCCGGGTGTGCAACGCCCTCTCGGCGCCCGGCGATGGCGCCGCGCAGGCGTCGCTCGGGGCGGTAACTCCAAGAGCGCGGGGCTCCATTTGCGTGCGAGAAACTGGTGCACAAGGCCCTTGACCTGGCGCAGCTGGCCTGCCTGCCAAGTGAGGTCGCGGCCTGGCGTAGTCTTGCTGTTGTTCTTGGTGGTCCACACTTCGGGCAGGGAGACCTCCTCGAAGTGGGTGGGGCCTCCCGGGGGCTGCGCCGACCTGGGGCCGCGACCCACGATGCCCTGGAAGTCGGCCCTGGCCATGTCCATCCACTCCCAGCGCCTGGTAGTTTGAGAGAGCGCGGCCCTGTCCCCTTGAACCGCCACCCACGAGCATGTGCTTCGCCCCTTTCCAGTCGGGGGGCTGCTGGCGGGGGCCCGCGGAGGCCGTGGTGGGCAGGTGCGCCGTAGTGAGCGGCATCCTTCCTTTGGGCCACTGAGCGCGCTGGCGAAGCTGCGTGTGGACCACGTCGTGGGCTGGCAGCGCGTGGGACGGGCTGCTTCATGGCCAGGCCTGCTCGCCCACCCGTGACGAAGAACTCTCTGGCGTAGTGGGCGCCGCAGCTGCTGGGCCACGCCGGGTCCTGAGGGATGTGTACCTGGGCGCCTGGCGCTCGGACATCTGCGAGTCTTGCCAGCTCTTCGGGGTCCATGTTCACGTCATCTTTCATGATCCACGGCAGGTCGTGGCGCGACTGGTGCTCGCGCAGCTTGTAAAGGATGTCGAGGTCCTGGCCCTTGAGCCCCGCGTTGACCTCGAGATGGACCGATTACTGCGCGACCGCGCCCATCCCATGGGGTCGAGCGTGACCGACGCACGTTCTGCCTGGCCACTGGACCTGGTCCTGCTGGCCGTGCCAGAAGTCGATGCGCCTCTTCGCCAGCGCGGCCACGCCGCCCTGGAGGTCCTTCTTGTTGATGATCGCTGGGGCGAAGTCCATCGCGCAGCCCTCGCTCCTCAGGGCTAGCCGAACCTCCAAGAGTCGCTCTCGAGACAGCTCGTGCTCCTGCACGCAGAGGATCTAGTCCTGGATGAGGGGGGGGGATGTCGTGTCCTGTGCTCCAGGAGCTCAGGTTGGCCGTTGCAAAACTGAGGCGGATCTGCTGCTGGTCCCCGGACGAGCTGCTTTTAGAGGTCTCCCCATCAACGTCCACCAAGTTCCTGCTTGTATTAACGCCGCTGCTGTCTGCGCATGCCCATGCGCTGGCTCTGGTCCTCGAGGGCCCTCCGACTTGCAGGCCTTGACGATCTCCTCGGAGTCCCCGTCGCCGAGGTCCGCGTCTGTGGGGGTGGGCACCTGTTCGCCACCTTCCTGTGCCTCACCGCTGTTCTTCTGGTTGGACGCGGTCTACGAGAGGTGCTTGGCGAGGGGCCTGGCGGCCATGCCCGCAACCTCGGGGCCCAGGTTGGGCGCCTCAGGTGCCATGGCCAGGAAACGCTGGGCATCATGCGCATCCTCTTCCGACGGAGCATCTGCACTCAGCGGCGTGGCGCGCAGCATGGCCTGGTTGAGGCTGGGCCCCAGCTCCGCGATGGTGGCGGTGGCCTGGGTAATGACAGCCTCGTGGTCCAGCGCTGCCTATCCGCCTCCTCGATCAGCTTCTTGGCTTCAAGCGCGTCGTTCTGCTTATCCTTGATCTCGGCCTGCAGCTGGATCCGCTTCGTTGGCCTTGGCCTCGGGCCCTCGGGCTGCGACGCGCTGCTGCTTAAACTTGGACAGGTCCGCCTCGAGCTGCGCCGCATCGATGCCCCCGTGTGCGCAGCGCGGGGATCGTCTGCTCGAGGCTGGCGATCTTGCTGTCCAGCTCCTGGGTGGCAAGGTCCACGACGGGCTCCGCAGCCTGGGGCGCGCCGGGCTCGATGGCGAGAGGCCCGCGGTCGCCGCGGGCACCGCCAGGGCCCCGCCCCCGCGCGTGGAGAGCTTCTCCAGCGCTGCCGTGATGTTGGCCATGTCCGTCTCGAGCCGCTGTAGCCGGGGGCCAGCAGCTCCGACGCCCCTGCGCTGAGCAGGTTGGCGGGGCTGCGAGTTGGACCTGGCGGCCGACCCTCGCTTGGCCAGGGCCTCCTGGTGTGCCTGCTTTGCCTTGCGCACGACGGGCCCAGGGGCGTCTCGCTCACAGAAGCACACGCCGCGCGGTTGGCCCAGAGGACCTCCTGGCGACAGCCTGGGCAACGCCAGTGTGGCTCCTTGGGTCCACGGAGCACCTCCCTGCCTTCTGGAACACCAGAACCACCAGCAGCACCACCATGCAGCGGCATGGCCTCGGCCACAGGCAGCTCTTCGTAGTGCTCGCCGTGGTGCCCAGCCAGCGTCTGGCGCGCAGCGGTCTGGCGCAGGATCGCCCGCGCGCTGGCCCTTTGCCTCCGCAGCCTGCGGTGCCACGCGGGCGAGCGTGAGCGGCTATGGTGCCGCTTGAGCCTCGGGAGTGCACCGCCGCCCTGGAAAAGGCTGGCGGCGTCTGGGGTCTCGCGAAATCGGGCCGCCCCAACAGTCCGAGCACGGCACGCCCGGGGGAGGTGTGAGGATGGACAAGGAGAAGGAGGAGCAGGAACAGGAGGAGGAGGAGGAGGAGGAGGAGGAGGAGGAGGAGGAGGAGGAGGACGAGGAGGAGGAGGAGGAGGAGGAGGGAGGAGGAGGTGGAGGGAGGAGGAGGGATGAATGGACGGAGGGAGGAGGAGGAGGTTGTGAGTCTCTCTCTCTCTCTCACTCTTTCTGTTTGCCAATCTCATTATCTCACGCGCACATACATACTATATATACACATATGTATGCAATGTATGTATGTCTGCATGTCTGCATGTCTGTATGTGTGTATGTCTGTATGTCTGTATGTATGTATGTATGTATGTCTGTATGTTTGTATGCATGCATGCATGCATGCATGTATGTATGTATGTATGGATGCATGTATGTATGCATGCATGTATGTATGTATGTATGTATGTATGTATATATGCACGTATGTATGTATGCATGCATGCATGCATATACGTATGTATGTATGCATGCATGCATGCATGCACGCACGCACGCATGCATGCATGCATGCATGTATGTATGTATGTATGTAGGTATGTAGGTCGGTCGGTCGGTATGTATGTATGTATGTATGTATGTATGTATGTATGTATGTATGTATGTATGTATGAATATACGTACGTACGTACGTACGTACGTATGTATGTATGTATGTATGTATGTATGTATGTATGTATGTATGTATGCATATATATATATATATATGTATATATACATGTATATATACATGTGCCAATACCTCTCTTTCTATATGTATATATAGTCATGTGTTTTTGTGCTCACCTTGTCCTCACCTTCTCCCTCCTCATTTCCCTTTCCCTGCTCGAGGGAGATGGCCTCCCATCCACGGGTGCGGCCACGCCCCCGCGCCTCCTCCCGCGCTCCCAGGACTCCGACTCGTCCGACTCGGACGGTGGCGGCGGCAACGCCCAGGGCGACAAGGCCCCCCCCCCCCCTGGGGCCCTGCCCGGGCTTGCGGACCGCGCGTCGGGGTGCCCAAAACGGCGTCTCGCTGCGGACCCCAGCATCCTCACCTATCGGCCTGGCTCGAAACTCAGAGAAATGGCGTCCAGGGCTCTGGTCGTGATCAGTCGGGATTTTTTTTGTGTGTCAAAAAAAATGGCAAGGTCGGTCTCAGGGTTGTGAGCGGGTTGGGGTTTCGGGCGCGCCGCGCGGTTTTGGGACTCCGGTCGTTCTCCGAGGACTTCCCGGGCATCTGGGGCCCCCGCTACCCCAAGACCGTCTGCTGACGGACTGCGCTGTGCGGTGAGGTCTCTGCGGATCTCGAGGCCGCCGCGCGGCCTGCCACCGCACGGTCTTGGGGACCCCCCAAAGAGACGAGGACCAGGGCCCCGGAAGCTTGGATCCACCATGTGAAAACGGGGGGAGAGGGGGATGCTTCGGCCCACGGCCGCAGTTGTTTTCTCGGGCGTGTCCGCGTTTTGGTGTTGGGAAGTCCCCGCTTGCGGGCCCTCAGAGGACTCTGAGATTCGATGCTTCCTTCCTGGGCTGCGCACTGGAGGATCAGCCGTCAGACTTTGGATTTCTCGGGCCTCGAGAAACCCTGGCACGGACCGAGAGGAGGAGGGGGGGGGACAGGTGGTTTTGGCGGAGGAGGACGGTGAGGAGGGGGATGATGAGGAGGGGGGTGATGGGGGGGACAGGAGTTGGAGGAGGAGGAGGAGAAGGAGGAGAAGGAGGAGGAGAGGGAGGAGAAGGAGGAACGGGGAGCCTCTCCTGCCTAGGTTCCTCTCCGCCTCCCTCCCTCCCCTACTCCTCCCCCTTCCTCTCCCATATTTCCTCTTCATTCGCCCCCCTCCGCCCGCCTCAGCGGCCTCCTTTGACTCCTCCCGTCCTCGCGACGTCTTCCCCCTCCCCCCCCTCCGCCTCCCCCTCCCCTCCTCGTTTGTTCCCTGCCCTTTGTTCCCGTTTTCCCCCCCCCCCCCCCCCCACAATTCTTCCCCCCCCCCCCCCCGCCTTCTCCTTCTCTCGCTCACGCGCCCTCTCTCAAGGATGGTGTGATCGGGGAGCAGCTGGCTCATCGTAGAGGGGCGAATCGCATTTGAGATATGTGGAGGCCATGGAGGAATAAGTGGAGACTTACGCAAGTACGCAAGACGAGCGATTTTCCCCTTGAGGTCAAAGTGGCGACGAGGAGTTCGCGAGATGACATCGGCGCCGCCGAACGGGCGGCGTCTGGACCAACTCTTTGCAGAAACCGGGATGAGAGAGATGTATTCAGGAGTGGATGGGAGTGCGCGAACCAGCGCAGGACACATCTTGGGACGTTCATATCCGAAACCCCCTCCCCCGTAGAGTCTTAACACGGGCGGGCCTGGGGTCCGTGGATCCGATTTCGGTTTACAACCAGGTAGAAATCGGCTCCGCCGTAAAGCGTGTGACGAGATGTGGAGCCCGAAATCCGAAATCGGATCCGCGCAAACAGAAAAGTGGATACGTCGCAACACAGGTCAACACCACAATCGGATCCGCGTAAACTAAATTGGATCCGCCACCACTGCGTTGATGAGTGTCCGTGCCTGACTTGAAACTGTCTTCTTCCGGGCCCGAGAGGGGCACATTGTCTTCCTGGGCATGTATCTTGCATGAGGTTTTCATGATCAGCTGTCCATGGAAAAGCACACCCGCCGAAGAGCAAGAGGAGGGGATGAGCAGAAGGATTGAAACCTGGGGAACATGCAATGACTTTCCAGGAGTTGTTTTCTCGTATTCGAATTATTTAATCGCTTCGCTCATTCCGCCGGCCCTGGAGCGCTATTTGGGGCCTCTCGGGGCCGTCTTGGGGGCTTCTTGGGGGCTTCTTGGGAGCGTCTTGGGGCTCCTTGGCGGCGTATTGGGCTCCCCTGGGGCCTCTTGGGGGGCTCTTGGGGGCCCCTTGGGGCGGGAGGGGGGGTAGTCGTTGGCAGCCCCCCCCTCGGAGGCCACGATCCTCGTGAGGGGTGGCGAAGAATAGCCTCCCCCCTGGGGATCGCCCGGGGGGTCAGCCGAGGATCGGCCGGGGTACTTTTCGTCTGGGCCCCCCCAGGGGCCGCCCCGCGCGCGCGAACTAGAAATATTTTTAAGTAGTTACCGGAGATCTTAGCACGCCTCTGGCCCGTTGGGCTGGCGAATTTGAGATTCTTGGTGGTTTCCCAGTTTTTCAGAAGTTCATGACGTGGGAGGACGATGACGACGTGAAGGATATGAGGAGGAGGAGAAGGAGGAGGGAGGACAAGGATGAGGATGAAGAGGAGGCGTTGGAGGATAAGAGATGGTGGAGGAACAGGAGGTCGAGGAATGGGAGGATGCTCCCGCCACCTGCATGTGATGAACATATCTCCGAGGAGTTCGCTCATCGCCAATCGCCTCTCCTCCCCCGCCCCCCCCTCTCTGCGAGCTGAGCCGTGGCCACGGCCTCGTGTCCTGGGGCTGCGGTTCCCCGCGTGCCGCCCCGTCCCGTTCCCCGCTCCGCCGCCTCCACTGGCCGTCCCCCCCCATGTCTCCCACAAAAAATCCCCTCTCCTCTCGTCGCCCCCCTCCCTTCCCCGTCCCCCCCTCCCGCCGATCTCCGCATCCTTCTCTGGGCCGGAGGGCAGCCGGGCCCCGGGGTTCGACGGCCGACCCTCTGCTGCCTTTGCTGCTGCTGCTGCTGCTGCCGCGCCTGACTGCGCCTCGTCTCCCCCCTCCCATTCTCTTCCTCCCCCCCCCCCTCCTCCTCCCCCCCCCTCTGCACCTCCTCCCCTCCTCCCCCTCCTCCCTCCTCCCCCCTCCCATTCTCTCCCTCCCCCTTCCATTCTCTTCCTCCCCCCCCCCTCCTCCTCCGCAGACGGTCGCCCGTCGTCGCCCCCCCCCCCCACCCCCCCCCTCTGCACCTCCCCTTTCTCCGTCGCCGTCGCCCGTCGCCCCCCCCCAGTTGCCACCTCCCTCCCGCTCCGCAGTCGGTCGCCCGTCGTCCGCCACCCCCCCGCTGCATGCGCCATCCTCGGCGATCAGGGCGGCCGGGCGCGACGGAGGTGGAGGCAGGGGCGCTCCCTCCACTGCGGGCCGACCCCCGCCCGCCGTCGAACTGGAACACCAGCTCGTGGCTTGGCCTCTTGCCGGTGGCACACCTGCCTGCGCCCCCCTCCGCCCTCCGCCCTCTCCTCCGCGTCCTCCCCCTCGACCCTCCCCTCCATCCTTCTCCCCCCCACCCTCCTCTCGTCCCTCACCCTCTCCCCTTCCCCCTCCTCCGCCCTCCCTCTCCTCTCCGCCCCCTCCTTCACCCTCCGCATCGGCCTGCGCCCCCCCCCCCCCCCCCTCCACGGCCAACCCGTGGGACGACCGAAGCCAAGAGGGGCGCGGCGACGCTCTTTGCTTCCGCAGCGCCTCCCGGCTTCTGGCCGTGAGGCACCACGCCATGAGCCTTCTGAGGCCGAGATCGGCCGGCGGCATCAGCAGCAACGATTGCGCACGCTGCCACTCCGAAGGGCGGGTGGGGGAGGGGAAGGCTGAGGAGGAGGATGAGGAGGAGGAGGAGGAGGAAGAGGAGGAGGAGGAGGAGGAGGAGGAGGAGGGGGATAAGTATACAATGAGGTCCCCACGTGGATGAGGAGGAGAGGAACAGTGTAAACCGCATAGTGCATCAGCGGCACTGCAACACACCCTCCCGTTCCAAGTCCCTTCCTCGCGTCCTTGCAGGTTGCCCTGTTCGCTGCAGGAATCGACCCCTTGAGAGAGCAGCGCAGTTGGGCCTGCCATTATGGGGAGGTCTCCGCTTTGAACAGGGATTGCTTTCCATTTTAAATGATGCGTGATCAGGAACGCGAGAAGCAATGATCATAAAGTTGAGTGATGTGTCCGCGAACTCCCCTTTTCAAAGAGTGACCAGTCCCTCACTATTGCACAAGCTTGCATTTGTGGCTATGGTTTTCGCGGACGTCTCAACTGGCAGCTCTATCTTGAAAGGGAGCCGCCATGGATCCGTGCAGTGTTGGACTTTGCGAAGTCTCGAGCGAGTCCCACCTTGGAAAAGAACAGGCGTCCATCCTTCTTTGAAAACGAACGTACGCGGCGCTGAGGCGAGCTCCGCTCTTTCAAAGAAAAGCAGCCGCCCTCCAATCTCTCAAAACGGATGTGCGCGGCGCTCAGGCGGGAACCACATTTCGAAAATGGCCTTATTTTCTATCAGAAGGACTGCGCACTTATCTGGCGAATGCGCGCGGCGCTGAGGCGAGAACTACGAAAAGTGGGACACCGACCCCAGCCTCCACAACAATGGATTCTAGATGTCGACGTTTTTCAAACATGGCGAATGTGCGTAGGTGTAGGCACCCTGTAAGCGAGGCCATTTCCAGCTGCCGCAGGCGGGGGGGCGGCGCGCGCGCGGTTTAGCTATTATAAAGGTCCTCATGCGGGGGGCGGGGGGCGGTTTTTCATGCGTTCAAGCCCCATTTTGAAACTGCCCCCTCCATCCCTGAATGCGTTGCATCGAGTGTGCGCGGCGCTGGGGCGAGAGCTATACTTTGAAAGGACCCGGCCCATACTTTAAATTGTTCCAAATGTGTTGAGACGTGGCGCTAAGGCGCGAGCCACATTTAAAAACTATCCTCCATCTGCTGCGAACTTTTTTGATCAATGTGCGCGGTGCTACAGCGAGAACCACGTTTTGAAAACGATTCTTCCATCCTTGAATTTGTTGTAAACTTCAAGGGTGAATGCGTGTGTAGCTAAGGCGAGACCAACATGTTGAAACCGACATCCTTTCATCCTCGAGGTTGTTGCATATTCCAAGCATAGGGATTATACGTGGTGAGGAAGTCTCAGGCAAAACGCCAGGTCCACCTTACCCACGCGTTTGGGAGTGCGACAGGGACGAGTTGTTGATAAGGAAGCAGGTGGATGCGGACTAGGAGGAGGAGGGTCAGGAGGATGGGGAGGTTGAGGAGGAGTAGCTGGAGAATGGAGAGGAGGAGGCGGAGGAGGGGGGAGGGGGAGGAGTGGGAGAAGGATCTTGCGTTCGCGTGGAGGAGGGGGAAGAGGAGGAGGAGCAGGAAGAGGAGGAGGAAGAGGAGGAGGAGGAGGAGGAAGAGGAGGAGGAGGAGGAGGAGGAGAACTTGGACGGGGAGGATGGAAGAGAGCAAGCTGTGCCAGACAAGGCAGACGCGCGCTCTCCCACTGGAGGCCATGAAGGTCGTGGCCTCCTGCACCCTGAGGCTCCCGGCTGTCGGCGAGAGAGTGCGGCACGTGGAGTGGATGGAGCGGGAGGACTCTCGCGGCCCCCCCTCCCGCTCTGGAGGAGGACGACGCGCTGAACGAGGTGGGGCCCTCGAGATTGGAGGCGGAAGGGAGCTTTCGTGGGTTCACGTGGGCTCCGACCAGCCTCGGGATACGTGCGCCTCGCTGGGAGCACTCCCGGCGGGTGGCCCGAGTCGTCCCGACGTGGAGGCATGAGCCACTGGCCCGCGAGCCGGGCCCCCTCGTCGCGAGGGTGGAGAGCGTCGTGCTCGGAGCGCGCTTCGCCCCCCCTCCCCCGCGCCCGCTCTCCCTCCGCTCCTGTCGTGCCCGGACTTGGGCCCCGTACAGCCCGGCCGCTGAAGAAGGAACCCTTCTCGTTGGGGAGGGGCTCCGTGTTCCTTGATAGTTTCACAGCTTGCCGTAGGTTTTCCCAAGGTTTTCGATGGGGAATCGAAGTTTAGCTTATGGGAAAGGAGGGGCCTCGTTCCTTATTTAGGGTTCCTTAGGTCAACGCCCCGACTGTAGTGTCCCTCGGCTGCCTTCCACCCCGGCGCGGATCCGCGCCGCTGCGACGAACCGGTGCTTCTCTCCCTTCTCGGGCCCCAGGAGCCAGCCGCGGGCCCCGGACCCTGGCAGAAGGCGGCTCGGGAGGAGAAGTCGGTCGCTGTAGGAGCCAGGCCCCGCGTCTCTCAGGGCCTGCCTGCCCCATGCCAAGCGGCAGCAGCGCGGCGGCGGCGGCCAGGCCTGGCACGGGGAGGTCTGGGCGGCCTCCTCCGCACTGGCCACGGGGCTCTCGGACTCCGTGGCCTGGGCGGACCCCAGCAGCAGTGGCAAAGGCTGGAGGGTCAGCATCGTGTAAACTTTTCCCATCCCCACAAGGCCATGGTATCTCTACTCCACCACCAGTTCACCCTCCCAGGTGGGGATAGGCTGCGCAAAACTCGAAGGAACAGGCGTATATCCTCACCTGGGTGGGTAACTCAGCTCCAAGTCCACGCCAGTGGGGATTGGAATTTTGTAAACGATGCTCAAGGGGGACCGGAGGGGGAGGGGGCGGGGGCCTAGCAGGGGCCCAGCAGTGGCCGGCAGCGTCCCGCCGAAGGGGGGGAGTCATAGGAGCAAGAAATCATGACACTGATGCGTTCCAAGATTTCCAGGATTTCCATGCTTTCCATGATTTTCTGTTGTTCCACACGGGCTCTGGCATCGAGGGCCGCGAGATGCTCTGAGCCAGCCCCATCATGGCATCGTCCTCGACGGAAATTAATGGCATAAGCATAAACTTTCGCAAGTCTTCGCTGATTTCTTGGATCGGTGCTGTATTTTCCCGTCCCTGGTGCTCGAAGCGCTCTCCGAGGGCTCCAGCACCGATTCCTGAAATCCGCGTGGACCTCCCAAAGCTTTCGTTTGTGCCATTAGCTGTTCACCGACATTCTCGTCCGCGAGATGCTCTGGCAATCCTGGGACGTATCTGGAGAAAACCCCATCACGGCAACATCCTCGTCCCAGGAAGGCGGGGGGGGAAGTGATGATGATGATAACGCAGAAGAAGAAAGTACGAATATTCTAATATATCCTAATCACAACAAGAAGAAGAAGCGGAGGACGAGTAGATGATTATGCGCGGGAGTCCCACGCCTTCCCCTCAATCATTTACGGCATCTTGCCTCTTCATCCCCATCATCCTCATCGTCATCTTCATCTTCATCTTCATCTTCATCTTCGTCTCCATCTTCATCTTCATCTTCATCTTCATCTTCATCTCCATCTTCATCTTCATCGTCATCTTCATCTAAATCTCCATCTCCATCTCCATCTTCATCTTTATCTTCATCTTCCTCTTCCTCTTCCTCTTCCTCTTCCTCTTCGTCAGCATCATCATCAGACTACTCGTATCATCATCACCATCATCTTCATCATCATCATCATCATCATTCCATGCTCCCCCTTACGAGCAGTAAGAGGAGTGTGAAGAAGAGGAGGAGGAAGAGGAGGAGGAGGAAGAGGAGGAGGATGAGGAGGAGGAGGAGGAGAGGGAGCAGGAGGAGGAGGCCGTGCTCGGGACTCAACCCCCGATCTCAGGGCCTGTCTGGCCAGCTCGGGCATCTCTTGGGGCCCCACAGGAGACTGCCCTGTCAGGGGAAGTCCACTTGTTCCTCTTGTATCGTCCAAACCGCCCACAAGAGGTCACTTCCCCGTCCGCTCAGTCTACAGTGGGGTCCATGCCAAGAAACACCCTGCTTGCCTCCAGGGTGCCCTGGGTTTCTTAGGTTTCGATGGTTTTGCGATGAGGAGCGCGACGTTCCCACGCCGAAAATCCATGGACGACCTGGGGTCTCAGGGTTGGGTTTCTTGTGGAAGGTTTCTTGTGGTCGGGTCTCCACTGTAACTTCCTCCCGCGGCTTCGTCTGCAGACCCAGCCGCGCTTGTTCATGGGCAGGGACTCATGGCGGTCCAGGCCACGTTCTGAGTCTGTCCCGAATTCTGCCTGGCGGTGCTTGTGCAGCAATGGTCGGGGCAAGCATCGAGTCAAAAGCAAACATCGTCGGGAATCCGGACGCCTTGGGGAGCCAAACCGCCGCCGAGAGCCAAGTCTAAAATGGCAGGAGGAGTATGCTCCCACAAAGGCACGACCTACCTCAACATTTGGCCCATCACTCCCAAATATTCACAAGTCGTCATTCAAAGAAGATCCTATTGCGGATCGGCTCTCGGCTAAGAGTCCTGCCGAGTACCTCCCACCAACCACGTTGGCGGCTCAGATTGCGGCATACAAACAGGATCTAGATCATTGTCTTCATGCTCTTGCGACCCTTGTGGTGGCTACCGAGAGGGCTGGCTCTACCGACGATCCCACTGTTGCCGACGCTTCCATGATAAATCTGCACTGAGTGCCCTAGTGCCGGTCAGGGATCGCACCACCAAGCCGCAAACACAGATCGTTTAGCAGCACGCCCGTGTGGAAATATCGAGGACCGTGGCTCTCAGCTGGCAGAGGAGAAGCAGGAGTTCGAACATGCTATCGTTGCCATGGAGCAGCAGATGAGAGCCTAAGGATCAGAAGGTGCAGGAGACAGCTACCGCGGCCATGGCTGTTCCAGGTTCATACCATCATGGTCCCCCCCTGCCGCTTCTCCACCAACTGCTCCTGGAGGTACCACAAGCAAAGCAGCGCGCTCAGGCAGTATTGCATACTTGGGCTCAGATGCACTGGGGAATTCCCCATAATATCCATGCCATGTCTCAATTCATGCTCCAGAAGATGGCCATGCAAAAAGGCAATGAGGCTATGGGCAGCGCCCCCCCCCCCCCCCGAGAGTCACATCCAGGTCGCCAGTGAGGACGGGCGAAATCAGGCATACAGCACCAGAGCTTATCGTCGCGGACGATCTCGATGAGCCTGGACTGAAGCGGACCCACGACGGCACCCTTGAGCCTCCAGAGAACTGGGCATGCCTTCCAGCTCAAGATGGCCCGCCAGTTCAGTTCTTTCTGGGGCCTGCCCCTGGAGGGCCCGTCGCCTTTCAGCCCATCGGACCCCGTCCCACGCCTGGTATAGTTTGGAGAAGTCCCTATTACATCTCGCCCGCGGCCGCAGAAATTGCGCGGCGGCGCCCTGGCGCGGGCTGACCTGGCGCGAAGCCGTTTCGCAGGGCCGCCCGCGCAGCCCCCGTTGCTGCAGTTGGGGCAGCGCAGCATGCGGACGAACAACTTGCCGCGAAACATGGCGCTGGCTCCGTTTTTTTGTTTATATATATATATATATATGTATATATATATATATAGATATTATATATATATAGATATAGAAAAAAAAGAGAAATTTTGAGCCAGACGGACTTCGGACTTCTGTGGAACCCATGTGAAATCAAACCGCTCGCCCATCTTCAATGTCGATGGGCCCCTGCGCCGTGAGGGGGGTTTTGCGCCGCGGAGGGGGCCGCGTGATCATCCGGGTTGGGGCTATGCTGTTGACATCGGCGCAGGCTTTGCTGGGGCGTGGGTCTCTGCGAAGAGAGAGGCAACTGAGAGGAGCGCGCATCAAGACATTTCGGTATACAATCGACAGCAAGTGGAGGAAGGGGACCATGCGGGTTTGCCACTCTGGGCTGGCGCCCAGGGAGGGAGGGAGGGAGGAGGGAGGGAGGGAGAGAGGGAGGGAGGTAGGGAGGGAGGGAGGGAGGGAGTGGGCCATCCTCGAGACGCCCCAGATGGCCAGTCAGCGGGGCGGGTTCCTGATCCTCATGGCGCCCAGCCAGAATGCCCCGCGCGCCCATCTTCGGCGTCCGCGCGAGGGGGGCGGCGGCGATCGCGTCTGGCCGAGCCCCCCGCCGGCAGGCAGGAGAAGGGCGGGGGAGGGGGCCTTGGCTGGGGGACGGAGGGGCGGAGGAGGAGGAGGAGGAGGAGGAGGAGGAGGAGGAGGAGGAGAGGAGGAGGAGGAGGAGGAGGAGGAGGAGGGAGGAGGAAGAAGAGGAGGAGGAGGAGGAGGAGGAGGAGCGAGGCCCTTCCTGGAGCCCCCTTGGCGGGGGGGGGCGGGTCCCACGGGCCAGAAAAAGTGGAGTTGAATTCGTTCACAACCTCGCCGGCGCTCGAACACCGAGCGAGGTCCACGTGGACGACATGCTTCGGCTGATGTGCAGCAGCCTGGGTTGCAGTGCTCAAAGGGGCACCGCCGTGGTCAAGCGTGAGTGGCAAAACAGAATGGGTGAGCTGCCCTGGCCTCCAAATCACCAGAGATATGCAGTTTTCCAGTGATTTCTGCATCTGGGCATCGGCAGCAATAGCGGCTTCTTGAGCGACGGTTTCAAGATAGGCGCGCTTAATGTTTTCAAACCACCGGGCCAACATCTGTTTAGTCTGGCAGAGGAAGCCGAGAAGGTGAAGTTGCAAGCCTGCCAGTCGGATTCCCTTCTGATGAGCTGCCCTGCAATGGCAGCTCGTTGATGTTCGTTGAGGAGCTGCCCCCCGAAGCTCCTGAGTGGCCCTTAGTGGCCAAATCCCAAGAGATCCTTCCAGCGAAGCGCCGCACCACTTGCGGTGCGGAGAGGGGGGGGCACGCCCCGAGGAAGGTTGGAAGAAACGGGGCCTGGTGTGAATGGGAGCAAGCGAAGGGGCGGAACAATATGGTCCGTCCGGGGCCCAGCGCTTGTTCCTGCGAGCAGGAAAGGGGGGGGCAGGTCCGAGGTCGTGGGTTCGGGAAGGTGTTTTGCCTGTTTCGGCCTCTGGGTGCCATTTGCGGACCCCTGGACAGTCGAACGTGGATCCGGAGTACAAAAACTGCGCCAAATTAACCTTGGGAGGGGTCCCGGTTCATTTTATGGAGCTGATGTCATTTGGCCCAACCTTTTTTCCTGATCGATTCTCTGGAGTCCCAGTCAGTTCAGACCCCCTGACCGCCTCCCGAAGAATAAGAGTTGACAACTAGCTCCCAAACCTGTACGACCCCCCGATTTCTCGGGTGGAATTCTGGGGGGAATTGTGTGTGTGTGTGTGTGTGTGTTTTGTCGGATGGGGGTCCCCGCTCGAACGGAAGCCCCCTTCGGGGTCCGAAAATTCGCGCCCATGCCTATAGCGCCCTCAATATTTCTTGCCTTTCCCTATTCATCCACTCCCAAAGTATGAGTGGGTGTTGTTTCATCAGCAGAAGTGTCTGATGCAAAGGGGTGGGTGGATGGAAATCTAGGCTCGGGCCACATCTCCGGATCTCATGACTACGTCCTTTGCCCCCCCTTCGTCCGCGCGCATGCCTGGGTTTATGATTTGCGACCTCCTTCTTGGACGCCTCCCTCTTTGGACGCCCCCGAGTGTCAAGAGCGAGGCGAAACATGTACGTAAAGATGGTGTTCTTTGTTTCTCGCAAGTATGCATTGTGCGAGCTTTTTTAATACGAGGCCCGCCTCGCGGAGTGGGGGGCCATGATCGGTACGTGGCAGGCGGGGTACGCAATTACATCTCTTGGTGGGCGCCCTGCAGTTTGCTTGTCCGTGGCAGGTGCCTGGACAGCCGGGCGCCTTCGTCATCGGGCCGTGCTTGCTGCCGCCGTCGTCCTGCCTGCAAGTGCACGCTCAGTTTCTGAAAGCATGTGAGCGACGCAGAGAATCGGGGTCGACTGCGCCGACGTCCGCGCGCAAGCTGCCGTTTCCTACGCTGCGTGCCACGCTGGCGGCTCGCGGAAGTCACCGCCGAAGGTGGCCATGTCATGTCCTCGTGCGCAAGATTTGCTTCCTTCTGTCGCTCACCTGTTTTTGTTGCCTGCATTCTTTTTGCTGCAGCGAACGCCTGCCCGCCACCTCCCCCGCCCCGAGGACGGCGAGTGGAGCCTCAACCGGGAAGAGGACGCCCCGCCAGAGCCGCCGCGTCGTCCTCGCCGCCGCCGCCGCCGTCGTCGCCGCCGCCGTCGTCGTCTGCGCCGTCGGCGTCACCGCCGTCGCGGCGGGCGGCATCGTCGGCGTCGTCGCCGCCCCCGCAGCCATCGTCTTCGTCGCCGCCATCGTCTCCTGCGCCGTCGGCAGCATCGCCGTTTAGGCCGCCTGCGCCGTCGGCGTCGCCGCCGTCGAGGCCACCGTCGTCTCCGTCGCAGCCGTCGTCTTCGTCGCCGCCGTCGTCGTCGTTGCCGTCATCGTCGTCGCCGTCGCCGCCGCCGTCGTCGCTGCTGAGGGGCTTGGCCCGGGCGGCGTCTGGGGCGTGCTCGGGGCCCGCTGCTTCGGGCTGGCCGCCTCTCATTCGCGGATTGGGCTCGGGGAGGTCCGAGGAGGATAACGTGGATGATGATGATGCTGATGATGATGATGATGATGATGCTGATGATGCTGATGATGATGCTGATGAGGATGATGCTGATGCTGCTGATGATGATGATGACGATGACGATGACGATATCGATGACAATGATGCCGATGCTGATGGTGATTATGATGATAGTGGTGATGATGATGATGATGATGATGATGACGATGCTGATGAGGACGATGATGATGATGATGATTATGATGATGATGATGATGATGATGATGATGATGAGGATGAGGATGATGATGATGATGCTGATGATGATGATGATGATGATGATGACGATGCTGATGAGGACGATGATGATGATGAGGATGAGGATGATGATGAGGATGATGATGATGATGATGATGATGATGATGATGATGATGATGATGATGATGATGATGATGATGCTGGTGCTGATGCTTTTTCTGATGCTGGAGCTGATGCTTCTGCTGATGCGGATGCCGATGCTGATGCTGATGCTGATGTTGCTGACGATGGCGACGGCGATGACGATGACGACGACTATGACGATGACTATGATGCTGATGCTGATGCTGATGCTGCTGCTGATGCTGCTGCTGATGCTGTTTCTGATGCTGATGCTGATGCTGGCTGATGCTGATGCTGCTGATGCTGATGCTGCTGCTGATGCCGATGCTGATGCTGATGCTGCTGCTGGCGATGACCATGGCGATGACGATGTCTGTGACGATGATTCTGACAGTGCTTATGATGATGCTGCTGCTGATGATGCCGATGATGCTGATGATGCTGATGATGGCGATGCTGATGCTGATGATGATGCTGATGATGATGACGATGATGATGCTGATGAGTGAGATGATGACGACGATGCTGATGTTGATGCTGATACTGATGATGGTGCTGATGCTGATGCTGTTTCTACTGATGACTCTGATGCTGATGCTGCTGTTGACGGTGACGACGACGATGACGATGGCGATGCCAATGGCGATGCTATTGATAATGATGACGATGCTGATGATGATGATACTGATGCTGATGTTGATGCTGATGATGATGCTGATGCTGATGATGATGATGACGACGATGACGATGACGATGACGATGACGATGATGATGATGATGATGATGATGATGATGATGATGATGATGATGATGATGATGATGATGATGATGATGATGCTGATGATGATGATGATGATGATGATGATGATGATGCTGATGATGATGATGATGATGATGATGATGATGGTGTTGATGATGATGATGATGATGCTGCTGATGCTGATGCTGATGCTGATGCTGATGCTGATGCTGATGCTGATGCCGCTGCTGATGATGATGATGATGATGATGCTGGTGATGGTGATGGTGATGGTGATGGTGAGAGTAAGCGGGAGAGTGATGGCGATGGTGATGGTGATTGTGATGGCGATGGCGATGGTGATGGTGATGCCGATGCTGATGCTGCTGCTGACGATGACAACCACGACGATGACGATGACGATGACGATGCTCATGTCGATGACGACGACGATGGTAAGGATGACGATGATGCTGATGCTGAAGCTGCTGATGATGGTGTTGACGATGATTCTGGTGATGCTGATGCTGCTGCTGTTGCTGCTGATGATGTTGCTGCTGCTGCTGATGATGATGATGATGATGATGATGCTGATGCTGATGCTGATAATGCTGCTGATGATGATGACGATGACGATGACGATAAACCTGATGATGATGATGATGGTGATGCTGATGATGATGATGATGATGGTGATGATGATGATGCTGATGGTGATGATGATGCTGCTGCTGCTGATGATGATGATGATGATGATGATGATGATGATGATCATGCCGATCTACCCCTACCAGTTCAATGGACGCTGCGGGGCTGCTGGGCCCACCCCCCTCTGGGATTCAGTCGTCTGCAGGCATCCCTCAGATTCCGAGCCCTGCCCGGTTGTTCAGAAGTCTGACCTGCAGGGTTGGGGTTCACATGTTGCCCAGGCTGTGGGAGGCACCGACGTAAGCAGCAAGAGCCCCCCCGAGGCAGGCCCAGGCTGGGGAGCAGAAGAGGCGAGCCGCGAGGTCGCGGTGGTCGCGGAGGTCGACGCGCAGGGGGACTTCAGGCTCAGGAACGAGCACGGGCAGGTGCATGGGCGCGGAAGCGGAGGGCAGATGCTGAGGTGCAGAGGTCGGATCACAGACGACATAAGCATAGTTCCCAACCCTCTTGTGTTGGGCACTCGTTTTGAATAGAGCACTGCTGACCCCGCCTCCTCCTCGCCTCCTCCTCCTCTTCCTCCTCCTCCTCCTCCTCCTCCTCCTCCTCCCTCTCCTCCTTACTCCCTCCATTCTCCTTCTCCTCGTTTTCTTCCTGCTCCTCCCTGCCTCGTGACCTCGCCGTGCCCTGGGGGGCTGCGATCTGCGAATCTGTCGCCACTTCCATGGGCTTCTGGGAGGGCCAGCGGAGGTGCGTCCCACGCAGATCACCACGAGACCTCGCCGTCCCCTGCGGGGCTGCGATCGGCGAAACCGTCGTCACTTTCGTGGGCTCCTTGGAGGCCCAGCGGAGGTACGTCCCACGCAGATCACCACGAGACCTCGCCGTCCCCTGCGGGGCTGCGATCTGCGAAACCGTCGCCACTTCCGTGGGCTTCTGGGAGGGCCAGCGGAGGTACGTCCCACGCAAATCACCACGAGACCTCGCCGTTCCGTGGGGGCTGCGATCTGCGAAACCGTCGTCGCTTTCGTTGGCTTCTGGGAGGGCCAGCGAAGGTGCGTCCCACGCAGATCACCACGAGACCTCGCTGTCCCCTGGGGGGCTGCGATCGGCAAACTTGTCGCCATTTTCGCAGGCTTCTGGGAGGGCCAGCGGAGGTACGTCCCACGCAGATCACCACGAGACCTCGCCGTCCCCTGCGGGGCTGCGATCTGCGAAACCGTCGCCACTTTCGTGGGCTGCTCGGAGGTCCAGCGGAGGTGCGTCCCACGGGGATCACCATAAGACCTCGGTGCGTTGTTTGATCGCAGATCGCAGCGGGATTGGGCGCCATGGAGCGCATGGCGCTGTCATGTGCCCATGCCGCTTCGACTCTTCAGTTGCTTCTTGTCCGTAGTGTATTCGAGCCTTTGCAGCGCTTAGCGCAGGGCGGGCGCTGTTCTATCATAGCGCTCATGGCGCTGTTCTGCAATGAGAATATGTCGCGATGCGTTGTTACTCCCATGAAGCATGTCTCCCGTTCCCCCTCATACGTATGATGTTTCCACGCCCCCTCGTGGTCACCTTCCTGCCAACGATCTGACTCTTAAGAGTGACGCCGCGAAGTTGGAACATTTGACTCTGGCCCAACGTGCTTTGGCGAAGCGTCCAAGTGCACGGCGGATCTTTCAGTGCTTGCTTTTGCATTGAGCGGTCCGATGTATAGTCGCCGCATGTGTACAAAAAGGGTTGGGTACGTCCCCGGGCAGTTTTTGGAGGTCCGCGCGTGTTTCCCGGGTCGGCGCTGGGCCCCCCTGGTGGTGCCTCCGGCGCCGCCCTGGGCGCGCTCCGCGCGCCATGGGGTCCAGCACCGATCCAGGACACGTCGCGCGGAATTCCAATGTCTGTGCTTACGTACTCCAGATTTCGTAATAAAGGGAGGGGGGTCACATTTCGGGGGGGGTCTCGTCCAGGCTATCTTGGAGGGCCTGGGGGGTCCTGCTTCTGACGAACGAACAACACGCACCCATACCCATAGGGGGGTCGTTGGGAGGAGGACTGGCTATGGGTATGGGTGCGGGTTGTCGGACCCTGGGGAACGCTCCCGCCCGAACGGGGGCCCCCATCCGACAACACGCACCCATGGCCCTCTCCGACCCCCCTATGGGTATGGGTGTGTGTTGTCGGTTCGTCGGCTTCTGCGTTCGAGACGCTGAGCTGCGGGGCACTGCGCTCGGGACGGGCTCAGGTTGTCGGGCCGTTCCGTGGATCTACGTCGGGGCACTCATTCGTGGCCGAGGCCCTCCGTGGCCACAGAAGCCCCTTCGCTCCTTGGCCAGCGTTCCTTGTGGTAGCGCGATGACTGTTGGGGAAGGGGGGGGAGGGAGGAGGAATCAGGGATGATGGGTGATGGAGGAGGAGGAGGAGGAGGAGGAGGAGGAGGAGGAGGAGGAGGAGGAGGAGGAGGAGGAGGAGGTGGAGGAGGAGGAGGTGGAGGAGGAGGAGGAGGAGGAGAGGAGGAGGAGGAGGAGGAGGAGGAGGATTTGGAGGAGGTGGAGAAGGAGGAGGAGGAGGAGGAAGAGAAGGAGGAGGAGGAGGAGGAGGAGGAGGAGGAGGAGGAGGAGGAGGAGGAGGACGAGGAGCGGGGTGAGTTTCGTGCAAGCGAGCTTTCGTGCCCAAAAGGCAGGAGCTGGAATGGGAGGAGCGGGAGGAGCCGGAGGACCAGGGGAAGGCGGAGGAAGCAAAAGGAGGGGGGCGACATCGATGAAAGATGACTCGGGTCCCCCACAAGTGGGCCGCACTGCGGCGAGAGTGCCATCCTGAACGACGGGAGCAAAGTGCCGATCCGAAACTGAGGCGCACGCTTCAGCGGGAACAATATTTCGAAACACCGAAAACACTTCGTTTGTCAAGCGAGTTGTAAAACGCCATGAGCACAGTCGGATGTGAAAGTCCTGCGCGTGAGGCGCAATACGTTGATGTGGCCAGATATATTCCGGACAGAGTCGGGGGAGAGAGAAGAGCAGATGCCATATCTGTGGACTCGAGAGCGGAGGGTGGAGGGAGGAGGAGGGGGGAGGAGCCCGTTTGAGTCTACATGGTTCGTCACCGCTCCTCGGGGCGAGGTTCACCCTGTTGCGTGTGCCTCCCCTCTCCGCTAGACCTTCGGGCCATCGCAACCACTGTGGCCAATGTCCCTCAGGACTTGGCCCCGAGCGGGGACGGGGGAGGAAGGAGGGAGGAGGAGATAAGCTGTACCCCTCTGGGCTTATCCTTCTGGGGAGGAGGGGGGGATGGATGGATGGACGCATGGATGGATGGATGGATTGATGGATACACGAGGAGGAGAAGGAGGAAGAGGAGGTGGAGGAGGAGGAGGAGAAGGAGGAGGAGGAGGAGGAGGAGGAGGAAGAGAGCAGGGCTTACGAAGAGGGGCATGTTCCAGCCAACTCGGCGTGTGCGTGCTGTGTGGAGGAGGGGGGGCAGGGAGGGATTATGAGGATGACGCAGAGGTAGGAGGATGAGGTTGATGAGGGGGATGGTGGTGGTGGTGGTGATGATTATGTCGGTGATGCTGCTGCTGGTTGTGGTGTTGATGATGACGATGCTGATGACGATGGCGACGATGATGATGATGCTCATGCTGATGCTGATGATGCTGATGAGGACGATGATGTGGATGTTGAGGATGATGCTGTTGATGCTGCTGATGATGCGGATGATGATAGCAATGATGCTGATTATGCTGATGATGCTGATGGTGCTGCTGCTGTTGAGGGAGGATTATGGTGGTGGTGGTGGTCATGATGAGGATGATGATGATGATGATGATGATGATGATGATGATGATGATGATGATGATGCTGATGATGATGCTGCTGCTGATGATGGTGGTGCTGAGGATGCTGATGATACTGATGATGCTGCTGATGAAGCTGCTGATAGTGATTTTGATGATGATGATGCTGGTGGTGATGATGATGATGATGATGATGATGATGATGATGATGATGATGATGATGATGATGATGATGATACTCATGATGATGCTGCTGACGACCAGTTGATGATGGTGACACTGATGTCGTTGATGAGGGTGATAATGGGCCTGATGCAACTGCTGCTGATGAGGATGATGATGACGATGATGATGAGGATGCTCATGGTCATGATGATGATGCTGATGATGATGCCGATGATATGATGATGGTAGTGGTGACGATGACGATGATGAGGATCATGATGATGAGGATCATGATTCTGATGATGATGACCATGATGATGATATTGATGCTGTTGCTGAGTATGACGATGATGCTAATGATGCTGCTGCTGCGGATCATGATATGGTGATGATGATAATCATGATGCTGCCGATGATGCTGCTGCTGATGCTGATGATGATGCCACGGGTTGCCACTGAGAAGGGATGGGGGGTAGGAGGGGGATGATGGCATACTGCAGTCGCCAGGAGGAGGAGGAGGAGGAGGAGGAGGAGGAGGAGGAGGAGGAGGAGGAGGAGGAGGAGGAGCAGGAGGAGGTTCCACCCACCGCCAGCCTAGTCCTGTGCCACCCCGGGCGGCGTGACCAGCGGCGGGCTTGCCTGTGCTGGCTGCCAAGGTGAGCCCCCACTTCTTGCTCCGGAAGTACTACTGCTTCACCGAGGTCCCTCCGCCCTCCTCCTGCGCCTCGGCCTCTCCCCGCCGTCCCTGCTTCTCCGCCGCCTTGTCCTCTGCTGCTGCTCCTCCTCTCCTTGACACTCCCTCTCTCCTCCCCTCTCACCTTCTCCCTTCGGCGTCCTTGTCATCTGTGCCTCCTCCTCGTCCTGCTTCTCCTCCTCGTTGTCATTCTTGTCATTTTCCGCCTGGTCCTCCTCCGACGCCCTCCCCCCCCGGTGGGAGTAGCGTCGATTCCACGAGTCGCACCACCGCGGACGCCACTCAGAAGCAAACCGCGCTCTCGAGGTCGACGCCCAGACCGAGGAGTGCAGCAGCCACGCACCCTGCAGCCAGCGAGACTCGTGCGCCGTCTCGCCCTGGTCCTGCCGCGTCCTGCTCTGGTCGGCACACTCACAGGTTGGGCTGGGAGGTGCAAGCACGCCCGCCCTGGCACGGCTGCCCTGTGGTCGTTGAAAGCCGTTTTGGTTTTGACCTCCCCAGATTCTGATCTGCCTTAAGCGCCTTCCTATTCCAAGGATCGAGCGAGTGTTTTTTCCCTTTCTCCGTCTTCAGAAGGTGGTTTGAGATCCATTACACTCCCATTGCCACCGCATTGCTATTGAACGTATTGGCCCCCCCCCTGCTCTCTCTCGGCCAATTGGAGCTTGTGCCGTTGATGTGCTCACTGACTTTCAATGCCTCCTCTCTGCTCCATGCTTTCGGATGCAACTCTTGGGAGGTTGATTAAGATTCGGCCCTGGTAGATCCACGGTCGAAACCTGACCTAATAATCTTGCGGAATCTGGCTAGATCTGGTTTATGCCGTCCCTCTTAATTCGGAGGTGGATATAGACCTCCCACCCTGAAACGTCGATTAAGGAATTGGCCGTTTTCGGTTCGCGAGAGGACGTCGTGGCCGTCATTTTTGCGGGGCCAGGTCCGTCGGTTTCGGTCCAGGCCGCTTTCATTGAGGGGAGGTTTGCAAAAGGGAGGTTTGTCCACCGCCGATAAATCCGGCTTACTCCCAGGCCTATTTCAACCTACTTTGGCTGGATGACTTTCTGATCGGGCCTCGCAGCCATGAATCGTACTTCCGAGGATCTTCCAGGCTTTAGTTCCACAGCGACGCTGTGCATCCTCGTGCGGCCGACCCGATTCGACTCCGCGTTCGTGTCGATGCAGCCCGATTCGACGCACGCTCCACTCCGATTCCGAGTGCCCGACTTGATGCTGACTGATCCTGCTTGTCGGCCACGCGCAGAGGGGGGTAGGGGGAGGGGGGAAGGCTCAGTCTCCTTCGAAGAAGCTTCCCCCCCCTACCCCCTTTTTGTGCTTGCCGCCGAACGAGGAGAGTCCCGAGGGGGAGGCACGGCCGTGCTGACCTCTGCGGCAGGGGGTCGGATCCCTGCGCTGCCTCCGTGGGTCGGGCCTCGGTGGGGGATGCGTCAGTGAGAGGAGGAAGAGGTACCGATACTGGTACTCCTGCCTCGTCTTCGCCTCTTTGGACCTCATGGGAGGCCCTCGTCGCCACCGCCAGATGCGCTTGGAAAGTCTGGTCAGAACGCACCCCGGGGGAGGTCCAGGGCTTCGCGGCAAGGGTACCTTTTTTTGGTTTCCCCAATTCGGCTAGAGATTCTGCTGATGCTCGGGCTTTGTCGCTGCTTTCGTGACGTCCTCGGTGCGGATTGGGGCGGCCTGGTTTTCGTGTGAGATGTCTGCAGTGGGAGTTCGCGTCAATTTTTATCTTGGCTCGTCATGTTTCTGACAGCCCCAGCGGGAGAGTCCGAGTCCCCCCAGCTCGAGGCCTCGAGGCAGGCCCCGTGCGCATCTGGCCCGCCCGGGTGGTTTCGAGGTAGATGGGGTCCGCGGAATCGCCGATGCATCGACGATGCATCGGCGACGTCGGCGTGGAGGATATCTGCTCGTTTTCCCATTTTTGGGCATCTTGGGAGTCCCTCGTCGCCACCGCTGGATTGGCCTCGAAATTCTGGTCGGACGAACCCCAGGAGAGGTTCCCGGGAAGTAGCGGTATGGGTACCTTTTGGTTTCCCCGTGTCATGGTGGCCAGCGCGTCCCAGCGCCAGTGTTATGGGTTTGGTGCGGCCGTGTCCCCTCCTAGCCGTCCTAGGCTTGGACTGGGCAGTGGCGGACAAGGCAATGCAGTCCGATGGGCCATGCTGGCCCGGCATGGCCTCAGAGTCCCCAGAGTCGCCATGACGGCTCCGAGGTGGCCCCAAGTCCTCCCTTGGACACCCACGACCCACGAGAGCACATATTCGTTGAGATACCGGGAGGTCTTTGATAGTCTGAGCCTTGTTGCCTTCTCGACTTCGATCTGGCCTCCGAGGTATCAAGGCAGCCCCTGGATAGTTCGAAAGAGGGCGTCACGAAGGGCTCCACGAGGGACTCAGTGGCTTCCGAGAGCATCCCAAGGGCCCCCCAACCCACGCCCTCAAGTCCGAGGCCTGCTTCGATCAACGGCTGCAGTTTTCCTGGGCTTGCCAGCGCTCTGTTTTTTTCAACACGCCCGATTTTGTTGTTGCCGTGATATTCTCCCTCCCTCTCCCTCCCTCCTTCTCCCCCTCCCTCCATCCCTGCCACCTCCCCTCTGGCCTTAAGTCGGGCCTGTCCCTCTACAGGGGGAATATTCAAAAATAGTCAAACAATAGTCTGGGACTGTTTTTTAAGTATGTTGGGGCATCTTGTGAGCATTTTTTGAATGTTTCTCATAGTTCGTCCAAAATCCCCCTGCAGGGGGACAGGCCCGACCTGACTCTGGCCCCCTCTCCCTCCTCCCCTCCTTCCCCCTCCCTCCTGGCCCTGCCTCCTGGCCCCCCCTCCCCCCCCTCCCGCCCTCCCGCCTTCCAGGTGGAGGAGCTGCTGCCCTGCCAGTCGAGAAAGCCGGAGGTCGGGTGGTGCGTGCGGAGCGACGGCCCGAAGGAGGCCTGCCACGACGACGAGGACGACGAGGGGCACGAGGACGACGTCGTCGTCCTCGTCCTCCTCGTCGTCGTCCTCGTCGTCGTCGTCGTCGTCGTCATTGTCGTCGTCGTCGTCGTGGCCGTCGTCCTCGTCGTCACGGGCGTCGCCCGCGCGCAGGTGCTCAGGGTCAGAGCGCGCGGGCGTCGATGGACGTGTTTGGCACTATAGCCTACAGCACGACGACGACGTCGATGACGACGAGGTCAGTCGACGACGACGACGACGACGACGTCGACGAGAATCCTTCACCTCGACCGGGCCCCCGCGACCATGAATCTATTGAAAGCATGTCCCAGGCCTCGCCCCACGAGAGGGACATCGCTAGGACCGCCCGCAGCAGCTTCTCGCTGCCAGCGAAGAGCTCCAGGGAGCCCGGCCGCCTCATCTCTGGAGGGATTATATGTCGTCCTCCGTGTCGCCTTCTGCCTCCTCCTCCTGCTCGATGTCGGTGCAGGCCCGCGCCGCGGTCCACGACCGCAGAGCTCCACGGCTGGTCTCCGCGGTGATCTCCTCGCCGCTGGCCTCCGCGACGACCGCGGCGACACCCTCCTCCGGCGCGTTCGCCATGCAGGCCCTCTCCAGCAACGGGGCCTCCAGATCTGTCTCCGAGTACACGTGCAGCGCCGCCGGCGCCTGCAGCTCACTCCGCGTCTCCACGTCCAGCTGTTACCACTCCGCTGCTGCCTCGCCCTCGAAGCTGTTCTCCCAGCGCTAGGCCACGTCCAGTATGGAGAATTCTCCATACTGGACGTGGCCTACCGCGATTCTGTGCGAATTTCAGCGCAGGGTCGGGAAAAGCGTCGGTGTGTAGAGTTCGTTTCCCTAGAGAAGGCCGCCCTGTGGGTCATCATCGCCCGTGTCCGCAAGCCGAGCAGACTGCTGAGGGCGACTGGGGGCACCCAGCCCAGCCAACACCACCGCTTCAGTTGCCAGCGCCATGTCTTTTATCTTGTCCTGGACCACGCGAAGCTGGTACAGCCTCGGCCCGATGCTCAAACCCAGGACCCTTGCCAGGCCCTCGCCCAGTCCTCCTTGTGCAGTGGCAGCCCCTGTGCCACGAGTTGCACCTTCACCTTGTCCTGGTCGATCGTCAGTTCGTCCCCACTCTCGGAGCACAACTTCAGACCAATGTAGTCGTCGATGTACAGCAGCATCAGCTGCACCCCCTCGAAGGAGTGCGTCGGTCGCCCGTACGTGATCCGGGCCAAGTTGGTGCCCCCCAGTTTCTCCAGGGTTCCAACAAGCAGCTGCGCCCAGCTGGACCCCATCACTGTTGACAGGGTTCCAAGTCCAATAACGTCCTTCTCGGGCTTCGGTTTAGAGATCCCTTGACTGAGGGCGTACTCGTAGTTTTTCAGCGGGGTCACCTCGGGCAGTGCAACTACTTCACTAAGGAGGGTGGCCGCCGTAGCCGGTTGAACCAGTCGGGTATATTACCCTGGAAGGAGAAGAGCCGCCGCCCATGCAGGATCGACCCGTCCAGTTCCAAACTGGCCATGGATGTGGGGCTCCCCAACGGTACGCAAGGCGGATCCTTGAACAGAAGGTTCACGCGCCTGCAGTCCAAGACCAGCCGACTCTTTTCGATCGACGCCGTGGCCTCGTCCAGGTGACTTCCGCAAAAAACCCGACGCGTTCTCGTTTGTTCTTGACGTAGCCGATCATTCCCAAGCGAAACATTCGCAGCGCGAGCTCAAATCTGTTCTCCGCCCGTCGCCAGCCTGGATCGGTGTAGCTCTTGGTCCTCTCGTAGCGGTCCCGAACGACTTGCCCCACCTCGTTGATCATCTCGTTCGCGTAGTCCTTGAGGTAGGCGCCCGCCGTCTGGGGCAGCCGCTCGATTTTGACGATGTCCGCGCGCGGGGGTGGGACCGAGACCTGCTTCGCCACCAGCTGGCACGTGTCCCCCTTGGCCAGCTTCTCGGTCGTCCTGCTCTTCTTCGGCGTCGGCGTATTCTGGAGATCCGAAGCTCTTCCTCCCACCAGCCAGCCGATCCGCCCTGCCATCGTTGATGGCCCCCCAGCACCCCGAGACGGCGTGCCTGTTCCGCAGATTGTTTGTGATGGTGGTCTGTAACGGGGTCGCCGTCCTCCACTCCCGCCAGTCGCTCCTCTTCAGGATCAAGGTTTCCTGCCCCAGGTGCCCTGCCGTAAGGCCCCTGATGGCCGCCGCCGCCGCCGCCGCCCTCTGGATTCGGTAGAGCGTCAGGTGCAGCTGCCTCCTGTCCTGGCCCTGGGAAGTAGGCCGGCAGACAGCGGGAAGGGCAGGAAGGGTAGCATTCGTGGTGGATCGCGCTCCCCTTGTTTATTTTCTCCGCCGTATGGCGCCGCCCAGTGTCCTGCGCCCCGACGCGGGACAAACCTGTCGTTGTAGTTGTGAGGTCGTGCTCGGCGCTGCCCAGCTCCGACCTGAAGACTTCGGCCCCGCCCCCGGAGTGGCACGCCCGCGGTGTCGTGAGCGGGCGCCTGCCCGCCGCCTCGAAGGTCCGCGAGTTTCCAGGAGGCTGAACTGCGGCGAGGAAGCAGCCGTTCCTGCCACCAAAGTCGTGGTCCTGCGCCTTGTGGCGAACCAGCAACATGCCCACAGAGGGATCGGAGAGGGCTATAGGTGCGTGTTGTCGGATGGGGGTCCCCGCTCGAACGGGAGCGTTCCCCAGGGTCCGACAACCCGCACCCATGCCCGTAGCCGGTCCTCCTCCCAACGACCTCCCTATGGGTATGGGTGTGTGTTGTTCGTTCGTCATTCCTGCCACCACAGTCGTGGTCTTGCGCCTTGAGCCTTGCGCTTGGCCAGGACCTGCCACGGGGGCCCCTGCCGCGACCCAGTGCGTGCCCCGCGCCCGCCGCGCCGCCGCCCCCATGGCGCCCTGCGGGTGCTCCGCGACGGCCGCCCTCCGCCTCCGCTCCTCCGTCGCTTCGTCGTCGGCCCCCGAGATACAGTCGGGGCCTTGAAGAAGGAACGGTTTTCGTTGGGGAGGGGCTCCGTGTTCCTTGATTGTTTCACAGCTTGCCCTGGGTTTTCCTCAGGGTTTTCGATGGGACATCGAACCTTCACTGATGGGGAAAAGGGACCTCGTTCCTTCTTTAGGGTTCCTTAGGTCAACACCTCGACTGTAGTGGTGGCAGATGCACTGGTCCCGACAGCGTCGTGGGCCGCGGTGTCGGATCGACGTTTCGGTGGGGTTTGGATCAGGCCGCGCCAGAAGTCAGGCAGCGTCGCTCGCGTGCGGCGCAGACATTCGTTCCAAAAGTTGGGTTAGTCGGGCGACGAATGTGCATCGAGAGGTTTCATGAACAAGATGCTCTTGCCGGCGCCCTGGGCAGATGGTTACGTAGTTTGTTCCAAGGCGTGCCGAAATCGGCGGGGAGTGCTTCATTGCTTGCGCTTTTCGGCGCCCGTTCTCTGCGAGCCTCGCCTAGGGTCGCCATTTGCTATGTGGCCTGCGGCCCCGTGGAAACTATGGGACTTCGGAAGGTGAAGGATCGAGCGATTAACCCAGAGACGGGGGGGCAGCGTCCCTGCCCCATCCGCGCGGCTTCGAACGTACCTCCAAGGTCGGGCCACGGACGCGTATGCGCGCAAATCCGCGGCGAAGAGGAATCGTCTTGATCAGGCAAGGTGTCGTCGAAAGCTTGCCCTTCAGGGTATGACAGCGTTCACTTGTAATTTTATGTCTATTCTAGCGTGGCGACCGACGTCGCGTCGTCGCACTTTGTCGGCAAAGATTCGCGACCCCGAGAAAGCTCGCAAGCTGGGACCGCGATGGATTAGCAAGAAAACGAATGAACTCCAGCCACTGTGTCCAATGCCGTCGTCCCTGCGCATGTTTGCTGGCCATTCTTGAGTCATCGCGTTGACCGCGGCGGTGAGAGTTTTGGCCACTCGGGGCCCTCCATGTGCGACAGCATTCGCTGGTCGGATGCGAGTTACAATGTCCCTTCCGCGGGCTGGGAACGTACGTGTCAAGGGGGAGGGATGGGATCTGTCATTCCCACCCGTGAAGAGCATCAGGACCGCAGGTGAGATCACCCGCGGAGCTATTGGGCCCCGCTTGAGGACTGCGGCCCTGGAGCGCGCGGCGGTTTCCCCGACGTATCTCGCGGCGGTGGAAGCGACGGCGACGGGGGCCAGCTTGGCGACGCCGGCACTGGTGGGACTTCCTGTTCCGAAAGCCGCTAGCGTCGCGGCCAAGCGCCGCCCCCGCCCCCCCGATCACGTTCCGCGAAGGCAAGGGCGCGCGAGAGCAACCGTGGCCCGCCGCGTGTTCAGAAACGCAGTGGAAGCAATGCGCCCCCGGAGCGCCGGACGGCCCTGCGTCGGCGCGATTTGCGGCCCGCCGCGTGGGGGTGGGGCCGAGAGATGCCGCTGCGCGCGCGTCGCCACAGGGGTCCAGGCATCTCGACTGCCAGGCAGGGTGCGACAGAGATTCGCTCGACTGAGACAGCGGCTCCGTCAGTGCGGGTGCGTCATATGCCTCCTCGCTCGACGCCTGCGCCGCCCGTGCCAGCGCGCGCGGCGTCTCTCACGGAGTGGCCCGTCCCGCCGTGGCAGCAGCAACGCGGGCGTGGGCGGCGTGCGGGGGCGGCGTCGTCCGCCCCCCTCGGCGCGCGGACCCCGCCGACCCTTGGGCGCCCTGGAGTCCGTCTTCGAGTTTTGCTGGCTGGGGCCCGGCGAGGTGGCCAGGTTTGGTGCCGCGCAGAGCGCGATGACCCCGATGGTGGTCAGTGGCGGCGGACTCATCGGTCAGGGGGGCAGGTTGAGACTGCGACTCAACCTGGTCCTGCATGCAACGGGGCGAAGCCCCAAATGTTCCGCAAGCCGCTAGCGTCGCGGCCAAGCGCCGCCCCCGCCCCCCCGATCACGTTCCGCGAAGGCAAGGGCGCGCGAGAGCAACCGTGGCCCGCCGCGTGTTCAGACACGCAGTGGAAGCAATGCGCCCCCGGAGCGCCGGACGGCCCTGCGTCGGCGCGATTTGCGGCCCGCCGCGTGGGGGTGGGGCCGAGAGATGCCGCTGCGCGCGCGTCGCCACAGGGGTCCAGGCATCTCGACTGCCAGGCAGGGTGCGACAGAGATTCGCTCGACTGAGACAGCGGCTCCGTCAGTGCGGGTGCGTCATATGCCTCCTCGCTCGACGCCTGCGCCGCCCGTGCCAGCGCGCGCGGCGTCTCTCACGGAGTGGCCCGTCCCGCCGTGGCAGCAGCAACGCGGGCGTGGGCGGCGTGCGGGGGCGGCGTCGTCCGCCCCCCTCGGCGCGCGGACCCCGCCGACCCTTGTGCGTCCTGGAGTCCGTCTTCGAGTTTTGCTGGCTGGGGCCCGGCGAGGTGGCCAGGTTTGGTGCCGTGCAGAGCGCGATGACCCCGATGGTGGTCAGTGGCGGCGGACTCATCGGTCAGGGGGGCAGGTTGAGACTGCGACTCAACCTGGTCCTGCATGCAACGGGGCGAAGCCCCAAATTGTGGGCGCGCCGAGGCTTTCAATGGGCTGGTTGCCTTAACTTATGTGTTGACGGCTGCGCGGCGCGCGCCAGTGCCACTATCTTTTATGGTGGGGCGTGCTGAGAGGTCCATGGCTAGTTCCGCAGGGCGATGACGAGAGTTTTTTCCCCCTCCCACGTGCGCCTCAAAAGTTTGGAGTTTTGGCGCCGTGGGGGGCCCAGGGCGGCCTTCGGGGAAGGGGTGGAATCTGTCTGGCGCTCTCGGGGCTTTTGCTCCGGGCGCTGGCCGATGCGCCGACGTCCACCCCGGCGCGACTGCGTCGCGCCGGGGGGCCGCGGGGGGGCGCCCCCCCCCCCCCCCTCGCCCATTTAAGCTGCTCTGCCCGCCCCGTTTCTCACGTGGGGCTGGCGGGGCAAGGGGCGGGCGCGGGAGGGCTGTGCTCCGCAGCTGCGCCGCTTGCTCGAAGCAAGAGTGCGCGCGGGCGCCCGTCGTCTCATCTCGCGGCTGGCCGGTTCGCGCGCGCGCGCGTTCGCGCGGCTTCGAGTGGGCCCGCTTAACGGGCCCACCCGCCACGTGCTCTTCAGTTCGCTGGGGCCTTCCTCGAGCGTCGCGAAGAGGAAGATCAGGGACGAGCGCGGCAAAGATCGATTAACTTAGAGGGGCCTTTGCCCAATCTGGCGATGGAAAGGCAAAGCGCTGAAAGAAGGGGCAACGAGCCGGTCGGCCAGGAGGGGGGAGAAGGTCGGAACAGGGAAAAAGTGCAAGACGAAGTGGAGAAAAGCGCAGCGCCATCCTGAACGCGCGCGCGGCGCCGCGGCACGCAGGTCGACGCGCGCAAAAAAACATTCTGCTGAACCCAGCTGTTCTGGATATCGCCAACTGCGGAACAATGAATCGCGCTATTGCGCTGAAGTTGGCCCGTCACCGTGCTGGCCACGAGGTCGCGCGACTGCGTCGCAGGAAATCATCTTCCAATCCGGGCCTGGAGAATTGAAGAGGACAGACCGTGGCGTCGATGCTCAAGATGCATCTATGCTGAGCCGTGCTATACCATGCATAGAGATCCAAGAACTGCGATAGCAACAATCGTGCACAGAAGTGGTACAAGCAGCCGGTCTCGTAGAAAGCGTTGCCGCGACCATCGCCAGTGGCTGCCACCCAGGCAGTAAGTTATCCAGCGCGAGTCCTCGCAGCTTCGAAGTGTGTGGTGGCACCCCTGTTCTAGATGCATGAGCACCGAAACCGTTAAAGCAACAAGCAGAACAAGCTGCAAGTGCCATCGACAATCACTTCCCATACCATCAACAACAACCGACGTGACATGCAAAGCGTAAGCCTTGACCAACCCAAGGACCCACAGGATGATGTCGTGCTTAGCGGGGCGCTTGTAACCGCGATGCTCGCCTCGCTCGCCGCCGACCTGATCCTCGCCCCCTCGCTTTCTCCCTCCCTCCCTGCCTCCCGCGCGTTGGCAAGAAATCCGAACCCTGCAGAACGCGCCCCGCCCCCCGAACGCGCCCGTGTGAATCCGCAAGGGCTTCGCCCCCCTGCCGCCGCCCCCCCCCCCTTTTCCCAGAATGGGACTTGCCGAAGCTGCGTTGGGATGTTCGGGGCGCTGACGTGAAGCAGTGTCGGGACTTCACGCGAGGGCCAATCTTAGTTGCGAGGATTTACGGCTTCGGTGGCGCGAGGACCGCATTATCTGCGATGGTTTATGGCTTCGGGGACGCGAGTATCGCAAACTTTACAAGGGTTTGTGGCCTCGGGGGCGCGACCATCTCGTAATTTACGGGGGGGTATGGCTTCGGGGGCGCACATATTGTATACTTTATCAGGATTATGGCATCGGGGACGCGAGAATGATGTAAGTTGCAAGGGTTTGTGGCCTCGGTGACGCAAGTTTCGTGTATTTCGTAAGGGCTTATGGCCTTGGGGACTCGAGTCTTGTATACTTGTCGCATGTTTCTGGTTTCGGGCGCGCGACGATTCCGTAAATTACATGGGTTTATGGTGTCGGGGGCGCGAGTATTATATACTTTATGCGGGCTTATGGCTTCGGGGACACGAGTACTGTAGACTTTGCGATAGATTATGGCTTCGGGGACGCGAGTATTGTAATGTATGCGGGTTTATGGCTTCGTGGACGCGAACATGATGTAACTTTCTCGGGATTATGGCTTCGGGGACGCGAGTATTCTGTATTTTCGGTGTCCCACGCCCCCCCCAGGAATTCGGACAACGCGATCTGGGCGTGGTAGAAAGCTGTTTTGGGGTTCCCCCCCCCTCGCGCGTTCAGCAGCAATTGGCAGCAAGGAAACAGAAAGCAAGACTGTAACAGTGGATACCGGAAACTGCACTTGGCACAGGGAGCTGAAATCTTCATCCTCGCAGCCTGATGGCCCCGCAAGGGGGCCGGCGGATATTGACGGTGCGGCAGTGTAGGAAGCTTGATTGGACAAAAAGAGTTCGAACCCTGAAAATATTCGCTTATAAAAAAGTCATCGTCGATTCCGGGATCGCAGGGGGTGATCATAATCCCCCTCCAATGTGTACGGGTTCGAGAATCTTGCCATCTACTATCACCTGGACGACGCTCGAGCATAATTACACCGACCCCATGTGATCAAACATCGATCGAGGACAACTTGCAATACATTGATTCAACACACGCGCCTACACAGTTTCCTCTCTTCCTCTCCTCCTCTCTTGTCTCGCACTGCATGTGTCAAAACACTCAAGAATCCAGAGGCCACGGTCTTGCCCACCTGGTCTGAGCTAGGCCGAGAGCTTGTCTGCAGCGGTGTTCGTTCGTTAGGCCGGAAACTGCAGCCCCGAGGAGGAGGAGGAGGAGGAGGAGGAGGAGGAGGAGGAGGAGGAGGAGGAGGAGGAGGAGGAGGAGGAGGAGGAGGAGGAGGAGGAGGAGGAGGAGGAGGAGAGGAGGAGGAGGAGGAGGAGGAGGAAGAGGAGGAGGAGGAGGAGGACGAGGAGGAGGAGGCATGAGCAGGGCTGGGCCGCTGGCTCCAGACGCTGAGCCCTCGCCAAGAGCAAAGCAGCTGCGCGGTGCGCGCGGGTCCTTGGCCGAGCAGCTGACGCTCCTCCTGCGCCGGGCCGCGCTGGCTGGCTGCGCCGGCGGCGGCGGCGGCCGAGCGCGCTGGGCACGCCGCTGCGACGGCGGAGCTCCCGCCCTTCCCGGCCAGGCTGGAGGCGCAGGGCCTGCCGGGCTGCCGCGCGCGCGGTGCGCGGGCGTGCTGCGCGGCCAGGCGGCGAGCGCCTCGGGGGCGGAGCTTGCGGCGCGCTGGTGCAGAGCGATCGGCACTCGAGGCTGCCCACTTTTTGCTCGCGCTGCCGATCTGGGTCCCGTGTGTGCTCAGATGATGGGCCCCGGCTGGCGCAAAACCTCCCCCCGGGAGCGGCCGCTGCTTGGCAGCCGAACCCCGGGCCAGTCGATGAGCACCGGATGTTCTTGAGGGTCCGGTGCGAAGCGCTGGGGGGTGCGTTGGCACCAATTGGATGAGCGTTTGGACCGCGTTTCGCCGCCGGAGGAGGACCAGTATAAACCCAAGACTTATCAACGATGTTGGAATCAACCCTCCCTCCAAGTTCCCGCTTCTTAGGACCCTGCAGGGACTCATGTCCACTGAGGGAAGGGCCCCGCTGGGAGACAATGGTGGAATATGTTGCATCGTAGCAGAACGCCGTTCCTGGGACTTCAACATAATCAACACAACTGGTGCGCCCTGACAAACCTGAACCGTACCAAGACGCCGTTTCGGGTACGTTAGCCATGGGACCCCGTGCAACTGTTTAACGTTCTGTCGCTCAGTTATGTTAGAACGAATGTGTGCGGCGCAACGGCGAGAGCCACATTTTGAAAAGGGGCCGCCCTTAATCAGTGAAGTTTTTGGCACATCGTTGCAACGGTCGTGTGTGTGTGTGTGTGAATGTCTGCGGGCGGTGAGGCGAGAGCCACATTGTGAAAACCGCACGCAGCCCATCCGTGGAACTATGGCAGTTCTTAAAAACGAGTGTGCGCGGCGCTAAAGTCGAGAACCACATTTTGAAATCCAGCCTCCTTCATCCGTGGCATTGTTGCAAATTTCAGGCTTCATGATCAGAAGTGGGAAGGAAATCTCACGCTAAACGCCCCGCCCGCCTTTTAGATCAGCCTTGGGGCGCGAGAGGAGGTGAGTTATTTGTAAGGAGCAGGAATGAGGAGCGGAAGGAGGTATGGGGCATGTGGATGAAGAGACGGGTGGAGCAGGAGGAGGAGGAGGAGGAGGAAGAGGTAGGATGAGGAGCAGGTGTATGTGCAGGAGGAGGACAAAGAGGAGGAGGTTGAGGAGGAGGAGGAGGAGGAGGAGGAGGAGGAGGAGGAGGAGGAGGAGGGGCAGAGGATCAGAGAAGGACACACCCTCCGTCCCGAGGTCACGTGCGACGAGTGGACCCTCGCGGCCGGGGAGACCGCCGAGGTGGCACAGGCCTGCCCCGGGGAAGGCCCCCCCAACGATGGGCAGGGCATGGCGTCGTCGCGTGTCCTCCCTTCACTTTCTTTCTCACGCAGTCTCCCTCTCCGTCCCCCTCACCACCTCCCCCCTCCTCTTCCCTCTCTCCCTCCTCCCCTCCCCTCCCCCTCCCTGTCCCACTCCCCCCCCGCCTTCCTCTCTTCATTTTTCTTTATTTTCTTTATTCTTCTTGATGTCATTGTTTTCTTCTTTCTGTCTTCCTTCATTTTTCTCTCCCTCTCTCTGTATATACACATATGTCTTACTTTTTCTATTTCTTTCCTTCTCCCTCTCACTTACTCTCATTATCTCTCTGTTTCTCTCTCTCTCTCTCTCTCTTTCCTTGTGTATTTATAGTATTATACCCACAGGTGTACAGTTAATCTTCCCTTTCTATTCGCCAACATTCCAGTCTCGTCTCGCATTTCCCTTGTCTTATACGCGTACATATATACACATATTCATACATACGCAGCACATAATATATACACATATATGTGTATATGTGTATGTCTGTATACATATATGTATGTAAGTATGTATGTATGTATGTATGTATGTATGTATGTATGTATGTGCGTGTATGATGCATGTCTGTATGTATGTATGGACGGCGGCACCCTATCGGGCGATACCGATATGAGGCCGCCGAACGTCGACATCCCGAGGTCCCGTTACATCTGAAGAGGTATGTAGCATCTTGGGCGTTTTGTGGAACACTATGTGATTACATTCGCACAAGCACAGCTCCATAACGCTTTGCGTATAGCATGTCATCATTTTTATCTTTGGCCGACCGGAGACCAGAGACCAGAGATTCGGGAAGACTCATCTCCGGTCGACCGGAGACCGGAGACCAGAGATTCCTGGGACTCATCTCCGGTCGACCGGAGACCGGAGACCAGAGATCTCCCAGGACTCATCTCCGGTCGACCGGAGACCGGAGACCAGAGATTCCTGGAGACTCATCTCTGGTCGACCGGAGACCGGAGACTGGAGATTCCTAGAGACTCATCTCCGGTCGACCGGAGATGAGTCCTGGGAGATCTCTGGTCTCTGGTCTCCGGTCGACCGGAGATGAGTCTCCAGGAATCTCTGGTCTCCGGTCTCCGGTCGACCAGAGAAAAGTCTTCAGGAATCTCTGGTCTCCTGTTGACTGGAGATCAGCCGCTCCATAATCTCTGATCTCCGGTCTCTGGTCGACTTCATTCGTCATGCAGGGCTCAAGCGAACAGTCGGTCACAGACGAGACCTGCGCGGCTACTATGCTTTTGTCTACCGGAGACCAGAGATTCCTGGAGACTCATCTCCGGTCGACCGGAGACCGGAGACCAGAGATTCCTGGAGACTCATCTCTGGTCGACCGGAGATGAATCCTGGGAGATCTCCGGTCTCCGGTCTCCGGTCGACCGGAGATGAGTCTCCAGGAATCTCCGGTCTCCGGTCTCCGGTCGACCGGAGATGAGTCTCCAGGAATCTCTGGTCTCCGGTCTCTGGTCGACCAGAGATATGTATTCAGGAATCTCTGGTCTCCGGTCTCCGGTTGACTGTAGATCAGCCACTCCAGAATCTCTGCGCATGGTCTCCGGTTTCTGGTTGATTTCATTCGTCATGCAGGGCTCAAGCGGACAGTCGGTCACAGACAAGACCCGCGCGGCTACTATGCCTTTGTCTGCGGACGAACGCCTCGCCGAACTGCGCCGCCCAGATGATGGCGAGTCTCGTCTCGTCACCCTGACGGCTGCCCAGTGTTCGCGCCTGAGTTGGCAACGTGCATCGGATCTTCCCCGATCGGGAAATGGTCGATCTGGCACTTCGGAGTGCGATCCCAATCGTGTTTTAAGCGTCGCTATCTGGCATTCGTTCCTCCTGGGCCCCCTCTCGATCTGATCATCCGTCCCCCGCGGTCACATCGCCTGGAGGCGATGGCGTTTGCGATCAATACTGTCGGCCGTCGCTCAGCCGACCAAGGCAGGACGGTGAACCCTGAGGACGTGGAGGCCGCTCTCGACATGCCAGACTTCCTTTTCCGCCCAGTCGACCAAGTCGCCCACATGCTGAACCTGATCGACGTGGTGATGGCATGGTCGGGCAACATCGATGAGGAGACGGTCAAGGCGGCCGTGGAGAGCAGAGGGGCGCAGGCAATGGAGAACGTGCCAGATGTGCTGAAGATTCCAGCAGGAGCGCCTGCGAGCGTGAAGGCGCAGTTCGTTGTTCAGCGGGCTGGCGTTGGGCGGTACAACGTGTTGCGCCACTTCATTTTCAAGCACGGCACCAGCCTAAAGCGCGCAGACACGCGCCTGTACACCATGGGCCAGTCGGCGACGTTCCCTGCGGCCGAGGACTCCAACACTTGGGGCCAGCGGAAGAATTTCAATGCGATGCTCGACCGCTTGCCAGGATTCCAAGTGCGCCATTTCAGTGTGACCCGCAAGGAGCCCAGAGATCAGCAGGGGAAGGGCTGGGACCCCACGCCAGAAGAGATCCGCGACGGCTTCGCGTACATCCGCGAGCACTACCACGAGATTGCTGGTTCAAGCGCGATCGAAGCGCAGGAGTGGGTGCTTCTGCAGACTAAAATCCGATCGAGCGCTTGCTTTGGGTGGCCAACCAGCCAGATCGAGAAGGCGTTGGTGAACATGGACAAGGCATCAGCTTCGGCCGACGTAGACATATTCTTCCCGCTGACGTCGTACGACCTGCACCCTGTCATCCAGGAGCTTCTGCTGCCGTTGATCTACGCTTTCGCCCCGCTCTCTGGTACCATGGTGCTCGGCGCTCCCGGAGTGGGGAAGACTCCCTTGTGCCAGATTGCAGCCATGGCGTGGGGGCGGTACGTGACGCGGAGCAAAGGCATCGACAAGAAGCCTGGCTTCCGGCGGGGCAAACAGATGGACGTCTTTCGGGATAAGGCAACGCCCGTGTATGAAGGCATCTTGCTCGACGACCCCTCTCTGGATCGCATTGACATCGAGGACCTCAAGGCCTTCGGTAGAGTCCACACAGCGGGTCATTGTGACGCTCGGTATACTCCCCCTAAGTGGGCCAAGGGCCAGTTCCACGCGCTTCTCAGCAACTGCTGGTCGGAAGATGCTGAGCCGCCAGACTCGGCGGAATTCTCCATCGACCCCCAGCTGTTCATGAGGATGCTCGAGAAGCCTTTCGGCTACCTCAGCCAGTCGCACAGGCTCGCCCTCACTAAGCGGTTCGTGCTCGTTGTGGTCGGCAGGCGCGCGTTGTACGTGCGAGCGCCTAGCTCCGATGACGCCGCCCAGATCTTTAAGTTCACTCAGGGCAACGTGGCCTCTGACTTTCTGTTGCCAGACCACAAGGACGCCCTCGCTGGCTTCTACCAGGGCATGGATCACGAGGACTGCGTGCACCCAGATTATGCGCTGCACGTCGAAAACGAATACAGTCTCGTATGCGAGGTGCAGGAGGCGGTGCGGCAGAAGACCGCAGAGGAGATCGCCTCGTGGTGGGCGAACCGCACGGCCGATCGTCTATCGTCAGCCAGTGGCGCACCACCTGCGCCATCCATCCACCATGTCCCTGCGACTGCTGGTACGCAGGCATCCGACGCTGGCGGCGTGCGCGTGCGAGCGGATGCTGACGGCCAGTATCGCTTCCGCCTGCCAGCCGCGGGATCGCTGGCACCGCCAGGCGGATCGCGCCGCGCTTTCCGATACCCTCTCTCCGCGAAGCGTGAGCGCGAGGAGTTGGATCGGACCGACGCGCCTGGCGGCCCGAGGCCGAGGAGGGGCCTTGGCAGCGCCGCCGAGGGCGCTGCGCGGGCCAGCGCCAACGGCGCCAGATCGGCGTCGGGCGCGGGGGCGACGCCGCATGGCCTAAAGGAAGAGTTCAGCAGCCCCCCTGCGGCCCCCGCCGTGGATAGCATTGGCGGCGCTGTGATCGACGTATTGTCCAGCGGAGAGGAGGGCGACGCTCCGCCCGCGCCGCTTGCTCGCTACCCGCGGGGAGCACGCCTGTACGACAGATCGTTTGGCTGCATCGTGTCGATGCAGTTCCGCCCCGAGAACGTGCGGCGCTACCCAGACTGCTGCATCCTGGATGCCCTGAACGCCATCGGCGTTCCCGTGCCTTACGATCACGCCGGCCCCTACACTTTGGATGAGGCAAAATCCCTGCTCAACCCGTTCGGTCTGTCGTTGCTCCGCTCGCATCCCAGATCGGCCAGAGGTTCTCAGGCAGGACGCTACATCATCGTTTACAGCATCGCACCCAATCGTCCTGGGCACGCTGTGGGTGGCATTGTATCCAAGGGCCGCGTGCATTTCTTCGACGGTTTGCGAGAGCAGGTCCGTGCGGGCCATTCCGCCTGGCACCGGCTGCCCGACGGCACTCCCTCGTGGATCTGTGATTGGTATCAGGTGGTCTGCTGCGTCGCATGACCGCGATATTTTTTTTGCGCGATTGCCCGTTTCGCAGATGCGGTAGTTTGGCGTCGAGTGCAGAATGGGCGCCGATGCTGTGCTGATGTGAGTTTCCGTTGCTGCGCAGGCTCGTGGCGCGCGTGCAGGGCGCCGAGCACGCGCCCGAGGCAGAGGAGGGTCGGCGCGGCTTGTTTCGTCTTCTTTGTTGAAAGTCAGTTCGCATGGTAGTGGCCAAAATTGATTGAGCGCGCAGTCTTTGGCAGGGGAAATGCCCGCTGAACGGGGCGCGGCGCATTTCATTTGAAGACTTCGCTGCGCTTTCCGCTGCGACGACGTGCAATCCATCATGGGTCCGATTGTCGCGGCAGCGGCGCGCCGCGTTTCATCCGTCACTTCTGGGCGCAGCCATGGCCGCTGCAGCGCGGGCGCTCTTCTGTGCAGGCCCCTTCGCCCGTGCGCAGCGCGCGGGGGGCGCGCCCCGCCCTTGCGGCCTCGTTTGGATTGCGTGAAGGAGTGGATGTGAAAATACACGTTGCATGTGTCTTTGGGTCGCACTTTTGTTGGCCAGTCTCATGCATC